AAACAGAAGATACCAGCAATTCTTTTGCTTAATATTTCTTGACTCTTACAATAGTAATTTTATTTTTTCTGTTACTTTAAAATTAAAAAATCGTTGATAATTTATTTAAATTAAATTTGCACATTGCACATACGAAAATAACTTAAGCCAACTATCCATTTGCTCAATAATACATTTTTATTATTAAAACGCCCGATTTGGTGTACATAATATATAGAGTAACAAAGTGTTAAAAAACACATCGTTAAGTTCTTCTAAATCAAACTTTATAAGTCCAATAATTTTATCAATATTAATTACGTTAACACAGTCAAAGTCCAACATTATATTAATAAAGTCCAAAGAGTTTAACATTCCGTTCTTAAATCATAACAAACTGTGACTTTGCACCATTCATAAACCTGTAAAGCCTGTTTTACACTACACACTCCCCCGATTTTTTTTTAATTTAAAATATAAATTGAAAAAAACCGCGCAAACTGGATAAAATGAGCAAAGTTTCTGCTTAATGGATTTAATCCAAATTCACAGAGCTATAAAAGAGGAGGTTTCCTTTAATCTGGCCGCACGCCGTTGTTCTCAAGTGGGAAAACGATCCATTGAGTTCAAAAAACAAAAATGTAAACTGCGGTTTTTTCAGCCACTGAACAATAAAGTTTCCTGTAGTTGTTCAGTGGTTTTTTCCGAAAAAATAACTGAAGTTGGCTGAAGTTGGCAAACTTACTGCTACAATCTTCCCCCTACCTATTGCTTTAAAACCAATCAAAAACTGGAAATTTTCAGCTTAAAAGTGCCAACGCCCCAAGACGGTCCCGTTCTCATCGACTACTCGAAAAATCGCATCGACGATGAAGCGCTCGGCCTTCTGTTCCAACTGGCCAAGCAGAGGAACGTTGAGCAGGCCAGAGATGCGATGTTCAACGGCCAGAAAATCAACTTTACAGAAGAGCGAGCGGTGCTGCACATCGCTCTACGCAATCGGTCCAATCGCCCAATTCTGGTAGATGGAAAGGATGTGACGCCCGATGTTAATGCGGTTTTGGAGCACATGAAACAGTTTACAAATTCGATTTTGAGCGGACAGTGGAGAGGGTAAGAGGTGTTTCAACAGTGTTCAAAATAAATTGCATGTTTTTCAACAGATATTCGGGAAAACAAATCACCGACGTGGTCAACATCGGCATTGGAGGTTCGGATTTAGGCCCGCTGATGGTAACCGAAGCTCTGAAGCCATACAACAAGGGCCTGCGAGTGCACTTCGTCTCAAACATCGATGGAACCCACTTGGCGGAAACGCTCAGAAAAGTCGACGCTGAAACTGTGCTATTCATTATCGCGTCCAAGACTTTCACCACTCAAGAGACCATCACCAATGCCACATCGGCAAAGGACTGGTTCCTCGGATATGCTAAAGATGTGAGTTAGTTGACTGGAAATTCTGAGCCCGCATGGCAATTTTTCGTGTTCGCTCTGCACAGCCAGCGGCCGTTGCTAAACACTTCGTAGCGCTCAGCACCAACGAGCCCAAGGTGAAAGACTTCGGAATTGATCCGGCCAATATGTTTGGATTTTGGGATTGGGTCGGCGGCAGATACTCCTTATGGTCGGCCATCGGCTTGAGCATTTCGCTCAGCATTGGATTCGACAATTTCCAGCAGCTCTTAGAAGGCGCCCACCACATGGATAATCATTTCCAAACGGCGCCCCTTGAACAGAACGTGAGAACCGTCCATACAGCTGGTTGTTTGGGAGCGCCGTTCAATTTTGAATTACTGTTTCAGGCCCCAGTGATTTTGGCCCTTTTAGGGATTTGGTACGACAATTTCTACGGCGCTGAAACTCACGCCCTTTTGCCCTACGATCAATATCTGCATAGATTCGCTGCGTATTTCCAACAAGGCGACATGGAAAGCAATGGCAAATACGTGACCAGAAGCGGAAAAACTGTGAGTTGGGAAAACAATCATTTTCTTCATCAGTGTTGAACCGTTGATCCGATTGCAGTGAAATTCGGAATGCAAACACTTTTTGTGACCGCGCTAATTCTTCTTAAGTTCTGGTTTGTCCACTGCTTGTTGCGTCCTTTAACTTGCGTTAGGGTCATTTTTTTGCATTTTCCTCCAGTGCCCTTTATCAGAAGTTTCCTTATCATGGCATCTAAATCAGGGGCGGATCCAGCTTTAAAGTCAGGGGGGGTTATGTAGAGAAAATACAGTCT